ATGGTACTCGGTTGCTGACTGAGGTTAAACCACGACAGCATGTTATTAAGGATATTGTCCAAAAGTCTCTTAAACACTGACAGGCTTGAGGCATCGACCACCTCTCTAGGAAGCCTGTTCCAGTGTTTGACCACCCTCTCGGTAAAGAAATGCTTCGTAATATCAAGTCTGAACCTCCCCTGGCGCAGCTTTGAACCATTCCCCCGCATCCTGTCACTGGATCCCAGGGAGAAGAGATCAGCACCTCCCTCTCCACTTCCCCTCCTCAGGAAGCTGTAGAGAGCAATGAGGTCACCCCTCAGCCTCCTTTTCTCCAAACTGGACAAACCCAGTGTCCTTAGCCACGCCTCACAGAACATACCTTCCAGCCCTTTCACCAGCTTTGTTGTTTTCCTTGGACCTCCTCTTGCTATTGACATACTTTAAAAAACCTTTCTTGTTGTCTGGCACAACACTACCCAGTTTCAACTTTAGTTGAGCTTTGGCTTTTCATGTCTTCCCCCTGCATATGTGAACCACGGCTCTGTGATCTTCCTGTGAAGCCTGACTTTGCTTCCAGAGATCATACAATTTCTTCTTCCTCTTGAGCTCCATGAGGAGCTCCCTGTTCAGCCAAGCTGGTCTGCTGCCCTGCTTACTTGACTTATGACACAATGGAATTGCCTGTTCCTGTGCTTTTAACAGGTCGTTCTTAAAAACTGACCAGCACTCGTGGACTCCTAAGCACCCAAAAGCAGATTCCCAGGGGACACTGCTAAGTAGCTCCCTAAGCAGCTTAAAGTTTGTTCTCTTGAAAGTCGAGATAGCAACGCTGCTGACCTTTTTTCTCATTACACCGAAAATTTTAAACACAATCATTTTGTGATCACTATGGCGAGAGAGCCACCTACCATTACATCTCCCATGAGTCTTTCTCTATTCACCAATAACAAGTCTAGGAGAGTATCTTTCCAAGTTGGCTCATTGAGTACTTGTGACAAGAAATTATCTTCAACAAACTTCAGGAATTTCCCAGTCTTGCTCGTCACAGCAGTATGGTATTCCTATAAAGTCTAGTATTCGGGAAACTGTTGGAGTTATAATTGTATGAGATTTTCAAGTCATTTTTCAAGACTCAAAATGGTAATTTTTTACTTGTACAATAAATATGTAGACAACTTTTTCCTAATGGAAACCTCATAGTTTTTGTGTGCTGTGGCTTTTTCAGCAGAAAACTGGAGAGAATTTAAAACTAACATGGAGAAAAATGCTAAACTAAATGCAGAATTGTATCTTGGGATTTGAAATCATGTGATGATTTCATGGCTTGGGTGTGGAGCTGATACATTCCAGAGTCCATGTTAAAGCAGCTGGACAGGAAATCTCATTCAGTTTCATCACAGAAATAAATCCATAAAAATGTTATTTTTGGAAACAGACATTGTGCTTATATTAACTTCCTTACTTCCACAAAGGATAGACTGGCAGGATCAGGCCTGTTCACTGTGTAGTTAAATACGCACCATTCACTTCCAGTGCTGCATCTACTTTGCTACTGATTCCTCTGAACTCTTTATGAATACTTTTTGAATAGTCTTTTCCCATCTTTCTTTTCTTTTCATCCTAGCTTTGGAATAAGACACAAATATTATAAATGGACCAGCATTAATGCTGGTTTTTTTATACTTTTGAAAATGTATTTGGAATGGCAAGACTTCTTCACTGCAATCAATAAATGAGATCTAAATAGCGTGTTTGATAGAGGACTTTGAATATGCGATATCAGAAAGTGGGCAGAGGCAGCTCTTTTCAGCTTATCGGTGGTGTATGAGGAGCAATAAGATAATAAACAACCCCTTCCTGCCTCTTTCTGCTGTCTCTCCCTCAGGAAAGCATGCAACCCTTACACTTGCTTACTCCCAGTAGCCCTGCTATGGCTAACTAACATTTACTCCTCACCTATGCAATTGGTGTCAGGCAATTTCACTTGGATTGTGCAGTTTACATAATATAGTCTGCATGGATGCAGTTAGACATTCTCATACCTTAAAAAGTATGGACTACATAGGCCAGAAAAAGAAATGTCTGAAGATTTTGGTTAAATGTGATAAGTAGAAAATCTATAAGGAGCCATAGGAAACTGCTTGATCTGAAAAGAAAGCTATAGAAACTGCAAGAAACATCATTAGGTTTAGGATAATGTAAATTTTCTAGGACTGGTAGAAAAGGCTCATAAAAAACAACTCATGGTTGGTTTTCTCTAAGATTAGTATCCTACTGTTAAGTCAATAAAATGGAAAATCACATTAAAAGCTTTGATGCTACTTTTAATGTTAGTCTTCAAGGAAAGTCGGATGCTCTCCATAGCAACTATGGAAGGTACTGACTACAGTAGTGGTTTAGTTCCATCCATATTTATTTTATTACCCATGCCTATGCCAGAAAATACACATGCTCTGTATTCATCAAGTCAAATGAATTTAATACCTCCTATGAAGATTTTATAGCTTTTCTGAATGTGGTTTCTTCAGAATGAATCAATGTGTTTGCTCAGTGGTTTGAACAGCTGTAATAATATTGCTTTCACTCTGCATCCTTATTTCATTTGCTTAGAAAGTGTGAGCTGATTTTAAGATAGGTGGGTCACAATTTTCCAGAAAATTTTTCTTGGAAAAGCCATGGATTTATTTTTTTTTTTTAGTAACTGCCTCTTTCTTCAATTTTCAGTTACCATTTGTTTTTCCCATTTCATTAGTAAAAGCAAAGAAAGCAAATTAAAATTATTCAGACAGGTCAGAAAAAAAGCAATATGTTAGATAAGAGAGATAAAAAATTGAAATTGTTTAGGAAGGTAAAGATGTGAAAATATGTAGTTGTTTTTTCACTGACTGTCTTATCATTTTACCAATTTTAGGATATTTTTATTCTTTATTTCCTTAACTATTGTATTTCAAATTGGACTTCTACTTAGATGGAGCTACAAAATTTGAAGGATGATTGATTCTATTTTAAATGCAGGTTTGATTAGACTGGCTTCTGGGCTCTGCCTATTTCTCCCCAGCACCTTCCTGGAGAGAGAAAGAGCAGTAGTGAGGGTGGAAAAGGTGCTCATGGTAAGAAGGGATCTACTACATGTATCTAACACACTCTCTGCTGATTAAGGGCCTAAGACAGGATATCTCTGTGACCTCTCTTGCTCTCTTCTTCTGGTGTGGTTTGGTATTTACAGAAGATCTTTAGCTGAACAGTTTATTTCAGGTCTATTTTGTGCCTTGTACTCTTTGGAAGAATATGGGATAAGTATTTTGTGGATCTTCTAAACATTGATACCTCTGAAACCAGAGGAGCCAAGATTTGATAAACCATGCCTGTGCTTTGTGTTTAACCATGGCATGAGAGTGTATCTCACTCCGCATATGAAATTGTCAGCCTTGGGGAGGCTGGAGAGATGGCAGAGCAATCTCTGGCTTTAGCTCTGTTCAGTGGAGGCACCCTCTAAATTACAATTCAGAGATTGGAGTAAATCACAGGTCCAGACTGAGTTTAATGGGAGTCTTGCTTGAAATACTCAAATACAGACATATACATTGTAGACGTCTACATTTTGTCAGACGTATCCCACCCTTCTAACGCTTTTAGTTTGTCTGCATTTCCTTAGTGAAAAATAAAATCTTTGTTTTCCAGAAGTACAGTCCAAAAGAGTTAGACAGTAATGACTGCGTGTGTAATATTCATCTCCCACAAAGAAGAGCATCTCCTTTTCAGCCTTTAGGTAGTCCACTGCAACAGTGTGCTGCATTTTTTTGGAAAACCCTAAGTCAGAGATGGTGTAAGGGAGGCTCTGCATCTGAAATCCTTGAGTTACCCAGTAATGAGGGCTTTAAAAAGGAAAGGTGTTATACAAAAATTGTCGGTTTCCTAGCAGTGCAGTTGCAGATACAGTTCTTAAATCTGAATTTGAAGGAAAAAGATGCCACTGCTGCGATGCATAAAAGAAAATAAAACTACTACATGATGCAACTAGTGATGTATTTCCACGGGATTTTGTGCCACCAGTGCAGACCAGGTTGAGCACTGGTTTTCCTATTATAGCTTTAGGATCTGACTGATGATATCTAAAGCCCTAAAAGGCCTCGGATTTGATTAAAGATGTTTCACTTTTCTATGGAAATTAATAGAAAATAGTTCAAATGCTAAAACATCTCATTTAATGAGTTGGGAAATTCTTGAATTTGGTTTAATTCCCTGTTGTGATTGCTAAAGATAACCTTAACTGTTACATCTTTCTCCAGCAGACTGATCCACACAAAAAGACATTGAATTGACTGTTAGCTTTAGAGATTCCCACTCTCAGTGTTGGATCTGTACTCTAGTCAGCCAAACTAATGATCTAAGTTATGGACAGTTGTGTTCATCTTCCAAGAGACCAGTAGGCTTAAGAGCTTTTTCTTTGCTAAACAAATTTACTCTTTTTTTTTCCTTTTTCTTTTTTCCTTCTCCCTCCCCTGAAATAATTGACCTTTGAAAAAATAAACCAAACCCCTCTCAGGAACTTCATAAGCAGCAGCAACAACATTTAACATGAGCTGAGGAAAGGAAGGAATGGTCAATGAGCCTTGCAGTATTGTAGATGGCTGTGCTTTGATGAATGGCACATGCAGTGACTTCCTTGCCAGCTTCAACTTTGTGTTCCCTTCAAATAAAGAGATTAAAAAAGTTGTACCTAGCAACAAGGAGAACACTAATGTAGATCACGCATGAGTCTTTGTCATACTGTCAGAAGTAGGTTTTGATGTCAAGTACGGATTAACGTCTCCTGAGTTTAGCTGTCTGGTTTAGAATGAAACAGCTCACCCCCCAAAAGTGCTTGTTTCTCTGCACTGACACTAAGGATTAACTTTCATGTAATCACCTGTATAATAGATATCTATGGCTAAGTGAAAGGGATGTCACCCACTGATGTCCTGCCTATTCTTCACCATCTGCTGCTAGGATGGTCTAGCCCAAGACTCTTCATGACAGATAGCCTGGGGCAGCACAAAGTTCTGGTTGAGAAAGCATCCTCCTCCATGCTTACATCTGAACACATGATGCAAGTGGAACATACATAAAAGATTGATTTTGCATGACTTTCATCTGGCAGGCAGAAAACAGATTTACTCTATAGAGAATCTATCAAGAAGAGGCCATAGAAAATCTGCACTGAATTTACTGCAACAAGGACTGCTGCCTTGGTCATAGTAAACCCATAGCTACCTTGATGAAGGCTGTGTGGGGTGGGAGGAGGAACAGAAGAGAGTCAAAGGGCTACAGATTTGCTGAGCGCAGCTTGCCCATGTGCAGCTACCACACACACAGAGTACCTCTGCAGTATGTTGGCTGGATCCTTCTCAAAGTTATATAAATATACACATACATATATATATATGCATGTGCTTTTTTGTGGGTCTGTCTAAGAAGATTCTGTGCAATTTTACTGGGACAGCTCTCCAAGGTAATCTTGTGTCTGTTCATCCTACCACTAGAACAATGTGTTTCACATCTGTTTTGAATGAGCAGTAGCAGTGTCCAAAGGATATCCTGCTTTATAACTTCTTCCCTTTTTTATTGTGCTGTTGTGGCTGCCTGTAAGCCACTGTTATGTTGCCTCTTGTGAAATGGTTGCAGCAGCTGCAACTCTAATTCTAATTCTTGTCAAAGTAATCTAAAGTCTCTTGTCAGACTGCCAGGCATAAAATTAAATGGGAACTATCTAAATGGGCATAAAATTAAAAGGAAGGAGACTAGGTGAGAAGAGCAGAAAGCATTTTGCCTTGTGGGCCTCACTGGAAGCTGCTGCACTGGCATCTGTGAGCCTGGTGTTTGATGGAGTTTAAGAGCAACGGATGGATGCTCAGGCTACGGTTGGTATTAGTAAATTTTATGGTACCGAAAAACATTCCCAAGCACTAGATCTCAATCCTCTGTACTGCTAAATTGCTGGAGTGGCTCTTGGGTGGTTTCATTTTGGACCAACCCACTGAATGGTTCCCAGGCACTATTCAGGATATGTCATGGGTCAGGGACGATTCCCAATAACCAGTTTGGACGTAGCCAACCTATCTCAGAGATTAAGAGAGTTAAATAAAATGGGCATGAGCTGTTTCATGCCTGTTGGCCTCCATGTCAGAGAATGGTACCAATCGTATTTTATTTCCTGCTACAGATGTAGCCTTAGGCTTTAGGCTCCATCTGAAATGCCATCTTATACACTTCAGTCTAGTAGCCTCATCATATCAGTCTTATGATTTCTCTTTGATCTGGTCATACTGGTTAGATCTACAGCTGGAGATCAGTCCCCAGCACTGATTAATGCATTAGTCCAGCTACAATCATGTTACCTCTGGTCTGCCAGGCGTTTTTGCAGGCAGTATCTTCTCTAAGAGCCTCAGAATGAAAGACTGAGTGGCAATAAAAAACTTTTTTAAAATAAATTCTTCCTGCCACAGATCTAGGAGATGACTCACAGGCCACAAAGGATATGGCAACCAATTTATGAAATCTGGGGCATTTTTCACTTCCTGATGAAAAAAGAAAATCACATAAATTACATTTTATTTTAGGAAGTTTTCTTTGTTTTCCAAAGTATTTTGCTGACAATCATTATTTTTGGCAAAGTGCTATTAAGGCACAAGTCCAATGAAATCCTGCATGACTCCCTACCATCTCATGGTAGGCCGTGGTGAAGTGTGACTGCAGTACATGGGATTTCAACGGACTGTTGCTCCAAAATGGTACAAACATGCTGACTGTTTTAAGACCGGAAAGCCCAAGGGAAACAGTGATTGTCACAGCTTTAAGCAGAATGCTGACTGATTGTTATCTGAAAGAACTTTAAATTTTTTTGCAGAAGAGGTTCTCTGTCCCCTTGGTCCCTGGTTTTGCAGTAGCTGAAGTGGCAGGCCAGCAAGAGGGAGAAGTTGTCCCAGCTCAGCAGAAGAATTAGGGTTTGGGATTTCTGCTGTAAACTTGGGCTGAAATGGATCCAAGCAATCATTTGCTGCCCTCTTCTAAGCGATAATTTGATTGATGCTCTCACAGAAGAGGCGTGCATCCATCTTCACCCTCCCCAGCTGCTGAAGCGTCTGCTCAGGAGGTAACAAGTCCGAGTCAAACTGTGTCCTTGCTTTCAAAGGACTCCTTTTAACAGGGAATGATCACCTGTCCCACAGACCAGATACAATTATCTCTCAGAGTGGTTTTTTAGTCAAGATATTGTAATCTTTTGAAGGCAGAGTCTTCCCCCAGATATAAAGAAATTTATGACTGACTTCAGTGCAGACATGATTTAACCTCTTTGGAGGAAAAAAAGTGTTCATCTTCTTTATCACAGCTGGACAACAAAGAAGAAAATATACAGTTTTGGTTTCTTCCAAAAGCCTTATTGCCAACAAAGAAACTCAGATTTCAGCTATTCCAAAATGAAACTATACAAAACATTGAGAAACTGTACAAAACAAAGAAACCATGCAAAACATCTAGAAACATTTCTTTAGTTGGGACTAACATATTGGATGACAGAGGGAGTGTAAACCTTACCCATCTCTGAAGAAAAGTATTACTTTTCCCAGCACTGTAACAGCATCAAAAGAGGAAGAAACTGCCTGCAATTCTTTTCATTTCATGTTAAGTAGATTGTTCTTTAAGAGGTATACAGAATGTACCATACAATGCTTGGATCCCTTTCACATCTTCCTTTGGCAAACAAAATCCAAATGGAGACTAGTATGTGTAACTAGGATACATCAAAGCAGATGGAACAGTGGGATGGCTGAGGCCCAGAGCATGTCCAAATTCATGGGCAGCAACAGTGAATAAATTAACTCCTAAATAATAAAAAAACCCACCACAGGTATTTCCATCATGGGCAGATGATTGTATTTCTCACCACCTGAGGGTTAGGGGTCAGGATTCTGAGTTTACATTGATTTTTGGAAAAGGTAAAATTTTCCCATGTCTCAGAAGACCAAATTTGGTGAACATTCACAGAAACTCAGAGGAGATAGTAGCAATCTGTGCAAGTGGTGATGTTTGTGTCTTTGGGAATACGTTCACTTGGGTCAGTGATCTATGGCTGGAGATGGACCTATCTGGTAAACTGAAGGAGTGGAGAAATAATGTGGGATTGGGCTCTTATAGATCAGGCAATCTGTACGGATGCTGAAATTAGGCAGATGAAAGCTGAGCTCTGGGGCAGATTAGAAAAAAGATAGTCCAGAGCTTTGAAGAGACTGAGGCTTGGCAGAGAGGTCTGCAGACAGTGGCTTGCCAGATGCCTTGGACATGTTTAAAGTTGGTTGTTGTTTTGACTAGAGACCAGGTGACACGGTAATAGAAGACATTAGTCTTAAGTCTGCCTTGTAAAGAAGGATTTTATAGAGCATGGTTGGACAAACAGCAGGCATTGAACAGGACCTCCCATGGCAGTAGATGTCAGTGGCACTATCGAGCAAACCCATCCAAACAGGACTGAGATGATTGAGAGGATGTGCTCTCAAAAAACCTATTAAGAAGTAGTGGAATATCCAGAAAAAAAGGCTTTTGCAATTTTTTACAGGGTTTTAAGGTTGGATCTCTGACTTCTAACTAAGAGTCAGGTTTATTTTCCTTATCAGCTCCCAAAAGAAAGGTTACTAAATGTGGATGTGCTATCAGAGCACCCTGAAGGGGAAAGGATTGGGTAAGACCCAGGTGGATGACAGACAACCTATCAGATGGGAACAAAACCTGATGATATAAACAAGAAAGCAGGGTCAGGCATGTCATGCTTATCCACATGAATGTGGCAAGCCATCAAGGTACAAAGAGCAAACACTGACTATCACTGTACTAATAAAATAAATAGGCCTGGAACCACTGTCCTTTTATCTAAAATTATCTTTCAAAACAGGGCAGGTACATGCAGGTTGCTTCTTCAGCAATTTAACAGTATAGATTATTACTTCTCTGATGCTGCTTAATTTACTCTACTGAAGACAAGGATCCAGCATGTCCCACAGACATTTCAGGATTTTTCTCCTCCACAATACAAGCTGATAAATGTTCCAGTGCTGATCTTGCAAAGCTTTTCAGGATGAGCTTAGCATTAAACTGACAATCACTTATATTAGGGTCATACAGCCTCCTGTCACACAACAGGGAAACTGTTATCCAGTGGCTCCTTAGCAAAGCACAACAATAAGCAACATAATGAGTTTATATATATATATATATGTTGATTCTCAGTGGCCAGCAGTAAAAACTGTGGATTGTGCTATTTTATTAAATTATTGTCACAGATAATGGTGGATCAAATTTTGTTCTCCCACCTCCTACTACACAATGATAGGTCAGAAATAACTCTTTCAGGATTTATTGAGTTAGTCCAGTTTTGAAAGAGTAAGATTAGATCCTTTTCTTTATACTTGTTTCAATGAATTTGCTTGGGATTAAGGTTTATCAGTCTGTTCACGTAGTATTCACTTTCTAAACTGACCCCAAATTAATCCCCTAATGTAGGATTTCTGACATCCCACATCGTTATGTTGTTTCTCCCCAGCTAGCTCAGGAATAGACTGATTTCTGGATGTAAATTTCAAGGATTGTTTCATAGGAAGTCCCTGAATCTGCAAAATTTATAAGGTATTTCCATGTACCATTTGTTCCCATGGTCCACGTCTCTGTGCTGTCAAAATGATTGTCCCTTCCCAATCCTTCACTGGGGCAAAAGCATGTGCCAGGGTCCCATGTGGGCCATCAAAGGGATAAGAGTCACGATGATGTAGCAAATAATAGCAGAAGAAAGAGAAAGAAACCCCCACCACATAGGGTTTCAGAAACTCTATCCTTAATGAATACTGAGGCACCTCTTTCTGGAAGGAAAAATAACCTAGCATCAACCTAGGAAGCAGATAATGAGAGAAGGTGTCTTTTTACAGCTGTGACCATGAACAGCTACAGAAAAACTCTGGTGAAAAGGAATCATTTGGATGCTTTTGGGAAGGAAATTTAGGATCAGATTTAGAAAATCCAGTAGTACAAACGCAATGATTCGTGCCCACTTAGAGCATTCAGCTGAAGGGATAAGGCTGTGCAGTGCCATGAAATAGTGTTACAGCATGGTTCTGATGCAATTTAAAGTCCCTTTCTCACCCCAAGTAATTAACTCATGATTTCAATGTTTTGTGCATTCTGTCCCATGACTTTCCCTCTATAGTTAGGAAGGGATAAGTCTGACATCATCTTTGGTTTTAGTATCATTCACTGTGACCAAAATTTGTTTGCATTATTCCCCTTTACACAAGGTATAGAAGAGAATTAAGTTCTCTGAAGCACTTTTTTTTTTCCCTATAAACATGGATAGAGCAACCAGATTAAACTGGTGTAATCACAGAATACAGAGCTTGTCCTGTATGCTGATGAAAGTGGGAAGCTTTTTTGTCCTGTACTTCTACACAGAACATTGCCTTTTCCCCATCCCTCCCTTTTCTAGCTCTTGTCCTGGGAGGTTGTGACCATGATGACAGAGGAGCAGGATTGACGGTCCAAGGCTGGTCCTTCTGTTGGGTACCAGGATGTGGTCCAGGGCTGTCTTCCTAGCTCTGATCTTTGCAAAAAGTCCCTTAACCTGCTATGGAGAGTATTCATCAACTCCATGACATAACATAGAGGATGTACCAAGTGTCCTTTTCTTTACAGTGTCCAGTTTGCCAACTTCGTTGGATGTAAACATAGCATGACATTTCATCACCAAGCCCCATAGTTAGTGTAATCTAGCTGTAAGCACGGGGTTGAAGGGCAAGGCCATTGAGCCAGCTGAATTGTAAATATAGGTAAGTCTATACTGACTGAAGGAATTAGACCTGATAACTTATTTTTTCTTTATATGATTTTAATTTGCATTGGGTAAGCTCTGTGTCTTAATTTTCTATCATTATTTAGTGTTAGCATTGTGGTAATGCTGAAGAGTTCCTGTAATGAATCAGGGTCCATTTTGAAAGATGCTTTAAAAACAGTGTAAAAGCCCAGAGGAAGTAGGTGGCATCAGGACATTTCCTGTATTCTTGTGTGTCACAACAGTGTGATTCTTCCCAGAAGACCGGTAGTTTAATACTGCCAAAAACTAAAGATCAATAAAGTTACCTTTTATTCCAGCCATTCCCCTTACCTTGTGCAATGCTTTCTTCTAATTCATCTGTTAACCAGTGGGGACTAGTGGGGCCCTTTAATAATCTGACATCTAGTGGCAACGTTGTGTATAGTAACGAGAGAAAAAATAAAGCCAGAGAAGACTGGAAAAATTTTAGCCATTAACATATCATGAGATCATTTGGTTTTGTGATAGCAAACCTATGTTTTTAACTTTGTAGTCTTCTTAATGTAATGCAATGCACTTAGTGGGGCAGTAACAAATGTGTGCTTCTCACTAAAAAAGATGAAGAATTGTGCATTTGAACTTGCATTGTACCCTTTTATAATACAGTCTTCCCTTAATTCTAAATACTAGTAATTTCTGGCAAAATCATAGAGACTCATTACAAAGTCCTCGCTGAATTTATAATGGAGATAAAAGATTTGAATCACAAATAGGAGACAACACTGATAAAAACTAAAAAAAATTAATGGTCCTTTTAAATCACCCAAGTGATGCCTACTCATTTCCAAAGCCAGAAAACCCACAACTCATCACCTGTGCTTTCATGTATTCTTTTCCCATTTGGGCTCTCCTGGAAAGAGCTGGTAGTTTGCTATTCAAGAACACCACACCATGGTCTCTGAGTCATGCCCATAGTGCTGTAGTCCACATTCCTGGTCACCTGAACACCTAGGAATGCCTGCATGTCTCTAAGATTCCTTGTCATGCAGCTGCTGCCATTTCCACAGCCTGATGCCTTCCCTTTTATGTATAATACTTGTCAAGGTACTCCTAAAAATCCAGAAAAATCCAAGCAAATATTGCTCATTGACATGTCAATATTCTGATTGATGTAAACGGAGTATTTTCCACAATTTGTATTGTATGAAATGCTGATTAAAAAAAATAAAGTAGCTGAACATATGGTTAGTAGAAAAGTCTGGCAATAAAAACTGGGCAGTTATTAGCATAAAAAGAGTATAGTTTATTTATACTGAAATTAGGTCTTATGCTGAATTGAGGTTCAATTCAGAATGAAAGGAAATTGCAATTTTGGAGCTTTCTATGATATCAAACATTCAGGTATTGACAAGCTTAGTTTATTTGCATGAGCTTTCTCTAAGGCAAATAGAAATTTGGCAAAGTCTAAACAATAACTTTATTCTAATCTGTAGAGTGATTACTGTTTTGTAGATGATTACTGCTCAGCTTTTCTATTTCAAATACACAGATTTGCAGAGATAGAAGGGAATTGATGTGTATCCGTAGAATTGTTTAAGAAAAAGGCAAGGAGATAGCAAAGAGGTTACATGGAAAAAGCATGTGACATATTTGAGAATAGCTGGACCACAACACTTGCACATCCTTGACAATGAATAGTCCTGTAGATGTCTTTCTTTAGATGTCTGTCTGATCTAAAGGCTGAGGCAAGGTACCCCCAAGAATGATTCTTCTTATCCTAAGACAGGCATCCTGTGAAAAGCGTCTCCATCTAGGATGATCAGATTAATCATCATCTGGAAGAACCTATCTCTTTCAATCATCTGCAAAGGAAGCCTATGCTTGCATAATCCTGGAAGTTTTTTGTTTTTTGTTTTTAATTATTACCCATTAATTTGCCAACATGTAGGCATCTAGTGCTATTTGAAGTTTCTTAGGGTATCCTGCTTGGCTGCCAGCTGGAGTTCTGGAAAGTTGTGGGTCTTCTCGAGACTTTAGGCCCTGCATCATGTCTGTCAGGTATGTGCAGAAATCTTGGATACCCTGTAATCAGTGGCACTAAATGCTTGCACTTAGGCAATTGAATTAGTTGACCCAGATTTAAGTTAGATGAATCTGCTGTGCATCTCTGTAGCTGAGGCTTCTACTAGTCAGAGAACTTGTGCATTTATGATCTTTGAAAAGGAGGTTGGTGGCATGAGGCTCTTTGCACTGAAGGGCTCTTCTCCTCATATTTTACTGAAGTAGCTTCAAAGTATGACAGGTTACAAACCTCATCTCTCCTTCCAGGTTTGTAGTGGAAAGACTGAAAACAGCACAAGCATGTGGGATCTCGTTGCTCAGTGAGGACTGGGACAGAGCTGGTATTTGTCATCTTAATGGAGTAGAGGTGTGCTGAGGGTGAAAGGATATTCTGAACATCGCTAATGGCTGAGTCCCAGAAAGAGAACTGCTGCTTGTGTGTACAAATCTAAATCAGTAAATGCACAGCTGAATACAAGCATGACATGAAATCCAGTGAATCGTTTGGAGCTTGGCCAGCCATAGTGTTCGCTGGTATAGCGAGTTGGGTAATTAGAAATTAGTTGTGCCGTAATGTACCCTGTGACTTGCACAGGCCCTTGTATAGCAGTAACACAGGAAAGATACTGTTATTATTTCTACTATGTATTCTGTCAAAAGAGTGAGATAAACTTACTACTGTGCACGGAGATAAACTTACCACTGTACATGGTAATGGAACATGACCTTAGTCTCTTTATCAGATATCATAAGATGCTGGCAATTATAGCTGCCATTATAGCCAAGTGGTTGTACAGGTAAATGGTTTGGTTTTACTGCTGGATGATGACAAATTAACTTTGTCTAAGAGAGAGGATTAGGAACCGCTCAGTCTTACACACCAATGGCACATAACTGTGCTGTGTTATAGAGTATTCACACTACAACCATTTTCTTCAGCGTGCAAAAAGAAGCAGCCCGGTATTTCTCTTACAACGTCAGCTCTGCTGTGGTGACTAGCAGTAGGTGCAGAGACCAGATTTTAAGCAGTCCATACCTCCCTGAGAACGGTTCCTGGCTGCCCATGCCAAAGGAGGGAAAGGCTCCCAGAAGAGGTGGCTGCAGGAAATAACTATGTGCTGGTTTTTGCTTAGTGTTGCAGAAGCAGATCAAAATGAATGCCCTTGATCAGCAAATTTATTTCATTTGGGGAGTTAGATAAATCGTCTTTGTTACTTGCCCATGAGTGTAATGAGTAGATGTTGTGTTCACAAAGCACTGAGTTCTATGCAAATGCAAACAAGAGAATGACTTGCCTGGAAAAGCTATTTGTAATTAATAATATAGAGGGGATGAATCCATTTCCACTGTGGAACTGGAGTGAATACTCTAAAGAGGAGCTCTAGGACTTTGCTTTAGTGAGCTTTCCTGTCTGCCAATCTTCACCAAAGACCAAAACATGGTTTGTTACAGGACCTCACAGTTAGTGGCCTATTTAAAGTGTGTAGTCACAGACTATTCCCTTTTTTTGTCTGTTTTAAGAGAATTTGCAGTGATTTCTTTTTTTCTCTTTACTTTAGCCCCTTAGCAGCAAGTGTCTGTCACATGTGGTGACTCTAAGGAGTGTTATGAAATTTTGGATTGTTGTATGCTTTATATAATTTGTCTATATCTTTCTCCCAGGAATGTTCCATGTTTCATATCCCATGGTTCGTTTCAGACAATGTATTTATTTCCTTTATTACAAGCATGGAACTAAGAATATAAAAATGTTATTTAAATGACAAATAAAAATTAATGTACCTATAATTTAACAACAATACTCTATATGTTATCAAGTTACTGTTTCATGTGATAGTTGTGTATGTTTTATTCTCTTGTACTTCATCCTGCACTTCTAATAATAAAGCCCTACTACACTGAAAGCAAGATGGGGAGAGCCCTTCTGTAAATGCCTATGTTTAGATACCCATGCTCATCCCCCTGCCACACACCTTCAGGCGCTCATCTGCAGCAATCCTCAGTGCCCTCCCTTGTCATCTTCCTGGTTTCCCAGCAATGTGGGTTAGGTTTGCAGTGGAAAACAAAAAAAAAAATCTAAACCAATTAGGAAGGGACTGATAATCATTGTGACACTCAAATCTTGAGAAAGAGAAGGGATTGGTCATGAATTGGGGTGGGTATGAACTCTGTGAAGTTCTCCTATCCGTGTCCTTTGAAGGGACAAGGATATCGGCTATCTACTGATCATAACAGTTATGCTTTGTATGCTTGCCAAGACAAAAATGCTAAGGTTTAATTTTTCAGCCTTACATGCTGATTTTTGGGAAGGGAGGAGCTCTGTTTTGCAGTTTTTGAGTTGCATGGACAACCAGTTTGAGTTGCATGGATAGCTACAGACGTCTAGATTACACTCTGAATTACTCTGTCTAATTACACTGTGGGGAATGTATTCGTTATTGTATCTCAAACACAATCAAGACCTTGGGAACTCTAATGTTACAGAAATCTTTGTGGAAACCCTGTGATTTGTCAGTGGCATGCTTTCTTCTGCTGATTTTCTTGTGATTAAGCATGGTGGAGGCAGGGCGGCACAGATGATTTTGAAAAGGAGCTTCCAAATCAGCACATACCCTGGTCAAAATCAGGGCAAATCTGACGTTCAACCAGGTTTCCCCAAAAAGAGTGCAAGCTCAGTGGGAAGGGGGAATAGGTGCCGTGTGACATGAGCCTGGGACTTGCTGTGTCGGACTGTAGGGATGGGGATGCTTTTGCCTGGTGGTGGTGGGGAAGCCCCAGCTGCCCCAAGGTAGAGGCGAGGGCCTGACATTATGTTACAAGCAGCCCTTTTGGCGCTTCACAAGCTACAAGAGTCTTTTTATTTAACTGTGAGACTCCAAGATTTAGCTTTTAAAGCCAAAAAAAAAAAAAAAAGGATTGGGTGAGGAGTAGGGCAGGAGAGCAAGGTAGTGACTGGACGCAATCCATGAAAGAAGTAGGTCACATCTTGGACCCAGTATTAACTTCTAGAGAGAGGTCTGATAACCTGGGATGAGGGAATGGCCGTGGGAATGTGGAGGCTACATAGGGATTCCCAAGTAGGTTTCTTACACAGATTTTGGTGAGCAGCTTCTCTTTTCTTTGGCTCTGTTCCCTTCTGTGTAAAACTGAGCAATCCTTTGATTTTCCAGCAGGGTTGTAAGAGAGGATTCAGTTAGTGCTTCCACACTTGGTTAATGACACAGTGGTTGTTCTTCTGGCTTTAATTTTGGACCAAGAATAACATTGCAAAGCACAGCCCTGAAATGAAGCTGTGGGATTTCAGATGGCCACAGGCAACCCATGTCGGCTAGTTACACCACCTGACTGTGCACGCAAACTCCTTATTTCTCCTCCCAGTGCATATTTGTTTTACCTGCTTAGTATCTATGTGTTACACTAAATGTTAACTCCTGCCAGACACTTTAGGGTCATGTTGCTGAAAAACTGACTTTGATTTTGTAATTTCTAAGTAAATAGAAAGGGTACAAGTGAATCGAGGCTTATACACTATATCAGTTCAGGTGATTGTGGTACCACCAGCAAACATAAACACTCAATTTTCTCAGGGAAAGCTGCCCAGACCAGGTATTCATGTTTGTCTTGAACACCACAGGCATATTCCAGCATGATTTGAGGCATGCACAACTACATTTTTATAACTGCTGCTGAGAGAAACATTACTTGAGGGCTAAATTAATCTTTTTTATAACTCCCTGCTGTTAGCTACACACAGGCAAAGCATTCAGTAGGAGACTTGGGTCTGACTTCTGGTGCTAAAACACTTTCCCTTGGCCACATGGTTTGAAGGTGTCCAAAGGACAATTCTTTGGTCCGAGCTCAGATCTCTCCATTAGGCACGTGGGCAGCTGCAGCAGAGCCTTCCATATAGATTTCTCCACCAGGAATTTGATTTTTGTGGCCACAAAGTGCTCCACAAGCTGAAACCATGCATGGCAAGTGAGGGCAATGAGGAGGCTGGCTTCAAAACCACACTGCTCTGAACCAAAATGCTAATGTACATTCAGCCTTTCTAGGCATCCTTATCCTAGTGTTAAAGTTTATAGTTCCTTTGTCCCCTGCCTCAAATAGGTGCTTTAAGAGATAAAATCTTTATTCCTGCCCATTGTCAGTATGTTCTCTAAGTTCAGGATCCTTTTTCCATGCGTGTTTTGTTTCATACTCACTTTAAAGCTTTAAAGATGGGGTCATGATAGTCAAATTCACCCCAAATTGCAGAGACTTATATTTTCCTGATGGTTAAACATCTTTAAAGGCTCAGATCCAGTCAGTAGGATGCCCAGACACAAGGATATAGGTGGAAATTAGATAATTAGAACTTGGCCTTCACAGTCTAAACAAATTCTTACAGAAATACCATGTGTGCAAAAATATCCCCCAGCATATTCAGAAATGAATGAATGACCTCTGTATTTCCCTTTGTACAATTTGCATTTTATTTAGCCTTCTGCCTTTTAATAGCACTGATTCCCAAAATTATGACCTCCAATAATCTGCACCTGAGGATAACCTTTGCAAAACCAGAGGCAGAGGCAGAAAAGTCTGCAGGGTGGCAGGTGAAGCTCTGGGGATGAGAGTCGAGGGGACTGCAAGGGGACGGAAGATGGTGGCGTCCATTCTTGTTTCATGTGCAGATCATTTTGAATGTAACAGTGTGAATGCACATTTCTTCAGCCAAGTGCTTGAGGAATGGCCATGCTCTGTGTGAACTTTGTTATGGCAGTACATTTCTATAGTCATAATGAGCACAGATGTCTTCATTAGGACTCTGAGCAAAAGATTTCAAAAGTAGTGTTAGTTAAATATGTGTTTAAATTTTGGCATGAGTTTGAAGGCTTTGCTGAGTCAGCACCTTCTTCTCTAATTAAAGCCTGTCCTCTAGCTCATGATATACACAGGCTGCACTGTGATCCTGGAAATGAGAAAAGAGTTTATCACTCTTAGAAATG